TAATCGCTCTCGCAATATTTGCAGTATAAGTGGATTGCAGCAGTGTCTGAGGAGCTTCTCACGCCTTTCATTCATAAGAATCACAGAGGGATCAAATTCCCCAAAAGTCCTAGCTAGCTACATAGGAAGTAGTCTAATTCCAGGGCAAGTATCATTGCTTTTGCATCTTTGTTTTGTTTTCTGGTTTAGGTTGAGTTCCTTAGAACACATGACATGCAGATTATTGCATCGCTGTATGTAAGGCAAACCGGAAGGCAAGCCCTTCGGTATGGGGAAGGTCACTGTGGGAAACTGCCAAGGTGATGGGGACTGCTTGAACTTCAGTTAGGGTGGAGCCAGTCTTCATTAGGAGACTGTTCACTTCACTGTGACCTTGAGCAAGTTTGTCCTTCCCTTTTCTCCCCCCATACCCCTCTTTCCCTTTTTTTATTATAGAAAATTTTGGATGTACACAGAAGTCTATAGTGTAGAGACTCCCCAGAGAAGGGGAGGGAGAGGAATGAAGAGTGACTGATGGGGATGAGGGTCTCTCTTTGGGCCAATGAAAATGTTCTGAAATTACTGGGGATCTTTGTACTCTGTACTAAAAACCATTGAATTTTATACCTTAAAAGCATGGGTTTTTTCTCTGGGCATGGCAGCACATGCCTATAATCCCAGCAACTCAGGAGGCTGAGGCAGGAGGATCTGGAGTTCAAAGCCAACCTCAACCAAAATTGAGGCACTAAGCAACTCAGCAAGACCCTGTCTCAAATAAAATACAAAAAGGGCTGGGTATGTGGCTCAGTGGTTAAGAACCCCTGGGTTCAATCTCTGGTAACAACAACAAAAAAAAAAGTGAGTTTTATGGCACTTGAATCATATCTTAATAAAGCTGGCTTTTATTCTTAAAAAATGTCTACAGAACAATAAACCCCAATACATCTATCATATAGACTCCCTGACCTTCACTGACCTCAATTTATCTGTATCTCTCTGACTTTCCCCTTTTCTGAATTTTTTTTGAAGCAATTTCTCAGATATATTTTATCTACAAGTATTTTAATACATATGTCTGAAAGATAGGACTTTTAAAAACACAAATCATGGTAGACACAGTGGTGCACACCTATAATCCCAGTGACTCTGAAGTTTGAGGCAGGAGGATTGTAAGTTCAAGGCCAGACTCATCAATTTAGCAAGACCCTATCTCAAACTTTTAAAAAATTAAAAAGACTGGGGATGTAGCTCAGTGATAAAGCAAGCCTGAGTTCAATCCCCAACACCAATAAAGGGAAAAAATTTATAACATTATTACACCTGCTAACATTAATGTTAATCATCATAACATTAACTAATGAATGCCATCATGTATGTGTTCAGTGTTTAGACTGCCAGGTAAATGGTTTGTCCTGAATTCAGATCCAGTTCAGGCCCATATATTGTGATCTGATGATTTCTGTAAGTCTCTTTATCTTTAGATTTCACCTTACAGTCTCTATTTTCTCCTTACAGTCTATTTGTTGAAGATACTAGGTTATTTGGCAAAATTAATGTCCCACCACCACCACCAGGTTCCTCATCAGCAAAATAGGAAGAGTAGTAGAAGCTAACTTCCAAGGCTGCAGTTGGACTAAATGAGGTAATCTCTGCAATGCATTTGGAACAGCACTTCATGGCCTCCAGGGTTCAGAAATCCAGCTCTTCAGGTGGCCAGAGAACCTAGAGCTTGCTCTTCAGTCCTGGCCGGATCCCAGTGCTTCTGGGGGTTCTTTTTCTCGTCTCTGCTAGCCTGGCCCTGTGTGGGTGTCATTCTCTAGCAGACACACACCACTTGGTGGCAGAGTCATCCAAGAGAGCCTAGCCTGCCACCTGCTCCTCTTCCTGGCCATCTCAGGGCAGAACCTTTCTAAGTACCTTCAAGACAGTGAAACCTGCCTGGGAGCACTGGCTTCCCCTGTCAGGAGTGGGGAAAGAACTACAGTCCATGAGCTGTCTGGTGACAGAGGCAATCAGTGCCCCTCTTGGGAATTCTCAGTGTGAAGACTGTCCAGCTGCTGTGGTGATGCCCTGTTCAATGGGAATTTTTGTGCTAGCCATGGAATTATCAGTTCATGACCTAGAGTTCAGATGCCAGCTGCCCAGGGGGTAGAGAATTACGGGTGCAAGCTTATAGTTCTAATTGGTCTATTTATAGCCTCAGCTTCAGTTCTGTTTATCTTGAAGAAACTTTCTCACAATAAATCCTTTTGATGTTAAAACCTATATAATAAACATGCTGAGCTTGTTCGTAGTCACTGCCTCCCAACCAGGGTTGTTAGTGAACCACTGGGACCTGGCTTTTTCTCTATTTGTGTGTCTGTTTGTCTTTTCTCCATGCCCTCATCACCCCGTTTGGTTACGTGAACAAACAGCCCTGCAGGTTGTGGCATACCCCCCGCCCGCACCCCCCCATGTGTAAGCCAATCACTGTGTCTCGGGTTTGGGTGCTCAGACTAGCATGGAGCACCCTTTCCACCTGCTGGTAAAAGTATCTCGCCACATGAAAGAACCGGATGCTAAAGGAGCGGAACAAAACTCTGTAACCAGAAAGCGGCACTGTGGTGCTCTAGACATGCCAACAATTGGTATTTTGTCTGTCCTGGTACCAACCTAGTTCTAAACTGTATTCATATATTCGAAGATTTTCGAGTGCTATGTGCTCACCACTGTCTAAACGTTGGGAAATCGTCAGTGACCCATACGGAAGGGTCCCTATTTGGAAAGCCTCACATTGAGTTATTTATTATAAAGTAGCTTCTGGGCAAAAAGTTGTGCACTGGGGAGCTTTTGCATGGTGTTGAAAGCATGAATGAGCGAGGCCTTCTGCAGCCTTGCCGTTTAACCTATTACGTCCCAGGTATTCAATTCTGCAAGTACTGCAAAGAAATGACACAGGTGCATTAAAATAGGTTGGAAGTCATAATCTAGAGCTCATACATAATTATATTAATCAATATTGTATTGTTATATAATTTTAATACATTTTATATTCTACATTTGAGTTAGTGCAGGTTTCCCACATCTGGGATGATGAGACAAAACAGGTTAACCCTGCCCTGTTATTCTAATCTAAGCCCTTGCTTTCTGCTGTCTTCCTTTTGTTTCCCAAAAAAAGTAATGGATTTTTGTTTTTGTTTTTGCTTTTTTGTAATTTTAAAATCCGTGATATCTCTGGATGTGACTGGATTTCTAGATTACGTTTGAGTCCCTAAGTGTTAGAGATATCGATTCTTGATTTAAAAAATAATTAATTGTAGAAAATGAATGCTCAAGTTAACACTGCCCTATCTAAAATTTCTGTTCCCATGGATAGATAAGCCTGGCAACATAGGACCCAGGTCCAGTAGGGCCCACCCTTGCAATATGAGGCTTGCGCAGGCTTGATGAAGCAGCCACATCGTCCTCACCTGGGATTCTGCATCACCCATTCCACCAACAGAGGACCGTGGAGTTCGCAGAAGGCAGGAGGGAAGGGGGGGCCTAAGGAATGTTGACTCAAGTCGACAACACAGATGGCCTGCCACTGTGTGCGTCATTGACTGCAGTGCCCTGGGAGTGACTGTCTCTCTGCAGAGACCAAGGGCGTCCAACACTTCTGTAATCCAGGCCTCATTCCAGCCCCAGGCTTTCCACTCTCTTCCTAGGGATCTGCTTGTCTCCTTTAAGCAGGACTTGCTTGCTGCTTCTCATCCTGGTTTTTTGTTTGTTTGTTCTAATCTACGCTGTAGAGGAGCAAGCTCTGCCTCCTCGGATTTGCCAGTCCAGTTTTCCTGGGGTGAAGCCGCCCCCTCCTCTAGTCCTCCGCTCCGCCCACCTCCACTTTGACCTGGTTGGTTGCAATCTTGGTTTGTGAAGGAACTGTGGGGTCATTGTCCCCTCCCTGTCATCTAGTCCCATCCACACAGCCTGTCAATTGCTTGACTCTCAAAGTATAGATGGTCTTGTCCAAAAATAAGTCAATTGGTAAACAAACACATTCCAGCGCTCTGATGTGGGGACCTGGGCACTCAACCCAACCAAAAGACAAGCCAGTATGTGCTGTAATGGCAAGAGGGGAGCAAGGAGAGGAGAAGGAGCTGGCTGGGGTGAAGCTGAAGCCAGGCTTGGAAGAATAGTGCCCTTTTGTTTGCATGAAATAAAAACGCAGGTGCGTCCTTGCAGTCTGTCCTACTGTCATCTGTCTCGAGATGCTGGAAAAGCAAAAAGATTTGTCAAGTCCCAAAGACTCAGGTGTACCAGCACGGTGGTTTCAAATGCAGACTACAGTGGTGAGATTTCAGAGATAGGGACAAGGGTGGTGTTGAGCTCAGTACTTGCTGCAGTCCGAGCTCAGAAGATGTTCACCCCAAGCACTGTGAGCAAATGCAGCTGGTGGATGTAGGGCTCACAGCAGGGCAAGTGTGATGGGGAAGGCCACCTGGAGGGAGGACAGTCCTCTAAGGCACCCCGTGACTTGTTTTACCCTGGCTGTCAGAAGGCAAGATTTTTTTTTTTTTTTGGTGGGGGTGGGGCATGTACAGGGATTGAACTCAGGGCCCTCAACCCTGAGCCACATCCCCAGCCCTATTTTGTATTTTTTTTATAGACAGGGTCTCACTGAGTTGCTAAGTGCCTTGCCAAGTTGCTGAGGTTGGCTTTGAACTCACGATCCTCCTGCCTCAGTCTCCCTAGCCGCTGGGATTACAGGTATGCGCCACCACGCCCGGCTATAAGGCAAGTTTTAAGAAGCCAAGAGGAAGGAATGCTGACCAACACCAGAAATATTGCCAAGTGGTCTCTCACCAGGGAAATGAGCCAGGTCTGTCCGGTGGGAGTTATTCCACAGTGTTCGAGGGACAAAGTACCCTGTATGACTACCCAGAGCACTTCAAAGTAGGAACTTCATCCTGTAAAGCAGAAGAATTTTTTTCTTCCTCTTCTGTGGTTTTACACAGCAAATGAGTGATAATCTCCACTTATAGACAAAGTGAGACGTCAGGCATTGAGGAGGGAGTGTGGCCTGTGTTTCTGGTCCCCCCTCCTTCGGCCCTTTCATTTTACTCTTATCGCACTTTCCAGAAAGTTTGCTGACTGGGAGCGTCTTCTTGACGATTTCCCATGTGTCAGATAGATAGCTCCATAGAATTCAGCTTCTGAGAACCAGCCAGAAGCATGCAGTGACATTGCATAACCTGCCTCTGAAGCCGGAGATAGCCGTGGAGCTCAGCGCAGCTGGGTCACATACTGACATGAGGGGAACGAGCATCAGGGATGGAGGACCCAAGGTGAGCCATGGGGTCTGTGTGCGGGGGGAGCAGTGACGGCTGAGGATGCAACCACTCTTAGTTCTGAGTGTCTGATGAAGGCAAAGGATGAATCCTAACCATGTGCAGGTTGGAGAAAGGAAAGCTGAGTGTGTGTGTAACTGTGGGGACACACGGGCTGTAAAGCTGCCTACAGTTTGGCTTCCCAGATGGGTGGAAATGACTTTTCAGTAGAGATCAGCTTACACACTGGACAACAGTGCCTCCCTCCCTCCCTCTGTGTTCAAGGAACATGTTTAGCAAGATGCCAGCCTCTGCCTCAGTGCGTCCCAGTCTCTTCTTCTTCCTCTGGACCCTGAAGACACTGTGTAGCTCACAGGTGTCCTGGCTCATCTCTTTGCTCACTTACCGAGAGCAGAACCCAGGCTCGGCCTCAGCCTCTTTGTCGAGGGCACGCAGGAACCCACATTCTGTCTTCACGGTAGTTTGGGTCTTGCGGGAGCCACATGGAACGTTCACACAGACTTCAAGTCTGTTGTGAACCAAAAAAGATTCCCTATGTAGGAAGTTAAAGTGGCTACCAGGAATAGACACTCAAACACAGGAAAGTGAAGCTCGGGTTGATGTGTGTGTGTGTGTGTGTGTGTGTTTATCTTGCTACATCCTTTTAACATGTTAAGTAGAACAGGAAAATAAGAAATGAAACAATTACTAAGTGGGGAATACTAAACATGGTGTATATTCTTGCCATAATAATAATGTCAGTAGGGAAATTGGTGGCTGAGTAGCTTGTGATACCCTCTTAAATACATTCTGCGTAAATATCTAAGCTTCTGAAGAATTTTGTCTTCAACTATTGACTTTGAAATTTTTCAAAGTGTTGGGAAAATGGGGGTGGGGTGCAATTCAGTAGACCCCTACGTGTCCTTCCCCAGATTCCTCAGTTCCCGGCACTCTGTCTTACTTGTGTGCATCTATTTGTATATATGTAGACATAGGCACAGACTTTGTTGTTGTCACTGTTAAACCATTTGAAAATATGTGGCAGATATAACTGCGCTTCACCTCAAAAGACCTGCCGTGTCTCCTCAGAGCAAGGTCATTCTGCAGAACCACACACCATCTTCCCACCTAGGCACATGTCACCTCGATTGCTTAATGCCATTTGGATAGTCAGTCCACATTCACATTTTCCAAAACTATCCTTTTTTTCTTTTTTCTTTTTTTGGATCTTGTTGGTTTGTGTGTTCATTTGTTTTTTTTTTTCCACCCCACAATTTATTCTGGGATTACACCTTATATTTGGGTCTCAGTTTTCCTTAAATCTAGAATTATCTGCTACCTGCTTTTTCAAAACATCAACATTTTTTCCGAATAGCCTAGATTTTGATGACTTAGATTTCTTTTTATTTATGTGCCACTTATTCTACCTAAATAATATATAGGGCACTTTAAATTTGTAAATAACACACATCTGTGCAGATATCGGAACGGGTATTCCCAGCATGCCTGTGGAATCCGCTGCTCGTATTATGCAGGTGAGAAGAGCTAGCCCTTTACCCATCACCCATACACCAGGCCCTACTGAGTCTCAACTTATGTTTTCTTATGTCCTCACAGCCTTTCCATTAAGCAGAGAAACTATTCTTATCCCCGTGTCACGGATAAGGAAACAGCTCAGTTGCCTTGCCTGAGGACCTCTAGCTCCAGGGACACTGCCAGCATCGAGCGAGGCAGACTGCACCTCAGGTTCTGGTCCTGAGCCAGCTCCCTGCATTCTGACCCTTAGACTCAGGGTCAGCCAACTTTCCCTGCAAAAAAGCCAGATCACATTCCTTGCTTTGCGAGTCACATACAATCTCTGTTGCATAGTTTTCTTTGTTTTTATAGTGCTTTTAAAACCATAAAAACATTGTAAACCCAGGCATCCACTGCCTAGATTTAGAGGCCAGGCCAGTTTGCCAACCCAAGTCATCTTGGTCGTGTAGGCGACTTTCCCAGTTACATTGCAATGAGCAATGACTTGGTCTTCGCTTCCTAGTACTGAGGCACCCCAGTTTCCTCAGATCCTTGGGTATCCCTATCAACACACGTGTGAGACAATACACTTTTTTCTTAGCCTTTTTTTTTTTTAACACAGGTAGGAGAGGTGAACAACCATCCAGCTTCTTGCCTTTTACGACTAACAGTGAAAAATAAACATAATATTAGCAAATAGTACAGTTGCAGCCAAGAGAGATCCTTACGCACAGCACAGTGGTAAATCTGACATCCCACCATTGGCTTATCAGGTTCTAGTCAGCTGGCTGCATTTGCAAATTCACTCAAGAAACACTAGAAAGTTACTTCTAAAATACAAGGTGATGTAGGAGGACCACAAGTCTGAGGACAGCCTTCGAGGTTTAGCAAGACCTTGTCGCAAAATAAAGTAAAGCTAAAAAAAAATAATAAATAAGCTGAGGATGCAGGTCAGTGCAGAGCACTTGCACAGCATGTGCAAAGCCCTGGGTTCTATCCCTAGCGGCACCAAAAAAAAAAAAGAAGAGCATAAGTTTTTATCATACTTTTATACATGAGTCCTTGTTTTTAAATTTTTGGTGGTTTAAAAACTGCCTCATTTATGAAAATGGAGTTTGCATGCACTTTGCTGATTGAGTCCCACTTGTCCCAAACTGTGTGTGTGTGTGTGTGTGTGTGTGTGTGTTATGCAGCTTGTGCCTGCTCACCATCAGAGGCAATGTGAAGTTAGCAACTTTGTACGCAGTTCCTTTTCCCCCCAGAACATTTTTTTTCACTCGGGTAAATATCCAGGGCTTGAAGTAGCACAACCAAGTCAAATAGGCATTGACATATGTTATCCGTGGCTTTCTGAGAATTTCTGAAATTCCATTCTGCTTTGAACCTCCTTTCCGCAGTGTTTTCCCCACAGTCCGTACTTTCTCTTTTGTAAAGACAGCTGTGTGCTCGCTGCCTTGAGGGTAGTTTTCAAACGTGGGCTTTGTTCACATGAGTGAAGAACTAATGGTCCAACATTTATCTCTAAGAACATTTAGATGTGCTTAACATTTTGGATTCTGCCTCAGTGAAAGAGCAGGTATCCTTTGATCCTTTTTTCATCTCAGCTCTGATTGAATGGTTTTAGACCCACTTCAGGAAGATCAAAGCAAAGACTTAGAATTAAAAAAAAAAAAAAAAGAGAGAGAGAGAGACTTCAACAGCCTCTGGGTTGGTTCAGGTGCGGCAAAGTATGAGGGCCTCGAGGACCCGGCAGGGACTTTGGCTTGCCCAGTGCTTCCAGCAAGAAAGCTTAGCAAGGCTTCGTTTGTGGGTGCAGGGCCTCCAACACTGGGTTCTGGGTGGTGATCAAGATATTTCAAACCCAGTCTGTCAAAGAGGGCCAGTGGGATTGTGCGCAGGCCTGGCCTACAGGCCCTGGAGACCCACTCCCACCCACTCTCCCACTTCGGTTCCTTCCCCAACTCCCCTGCTGAGCCCTGCCTGTCCTCACCAACCATGCTGATCACGTGGGTCCTCTCCTCCGGCATAAGCCCACCCTAAGGTAGGAGGCCTCTGGACTTGCCTATTCAATCTAGTCTCTAGTGCCTACAGCAGGGCCTGCACACAGTAGGTGCTCAGAAGATGTTCCGTGGTGGAGTGTGAATGAACAGGAGGTCACAGGGCATGTAGTTGTAGCCCTTGTGACGCAGCCCCACCACGAGGACAGAATTGAGGAGAGGACCAGCACTTCCTAGTTGCCGTGTCTGGGAACAGAGGCCATCCCAGACTCTCAGCTCTCCAACCCCTCTCTGGCCCCAGCTTGACACCACTCAGCCTTGACTCAAGAACTGACCTCCACCTTCTCCCACGGTCAGGCATTGCTTTACACTTCCACCACTGGATTAAAGTCAAGGTCACAAGGACCCATGGCCTCCCTCCAGCCTTGCCAGAACTTCATCCTTCACCCATCTCACAAGGCAAAACAGCCCCATGCAATACCCAGCTTGAGAACGGCTCACCACCACCCACTGCTCAGCCGCTCACCAGCACGTAGTGGGGCTTTGGGGCTCTGGGTGACAAAGACAGGGCTGACTGCCTTGGAGTAAGAACGACAGATAGCCAGTAAATAGACACAATGATACCTGGGTGCAGGGTCACCTGCTATAAAAAGAACAACACAGGGTGATCAGATAGAAGTGAAGGTCACAGAGGGCTACTGTGGAGACCCAAAATGACAGGAAGAGCTTTCCAGACCAAGGGAGCAGCAGGTGCAAAGGCCCTGAGGAAACAGATTCAGCAGAATATCCATAAAAAGGCAGAGGGCTGGAGCCGCAGAGACAAGGGGGAAGTGGTCGGAAATGAGATGGGGGGTGAGCAGAATCCCACGGGGCCCAGCTTGCTGTGTCACAGCTTTGAAGTGCGTTCTAATTGCGAAGGAAGCCACTGGCCCACTTAAGGCAGGAGATGACACAGGGTGGCTCCTGTTTTTGAAGATTGCTCCGGCTGCCAGGCAACAGACTGTAGGTGGGCAAGGGCCGGAGGCAGGAGGTAAACTGAGAGGCTCAGTGGTGGGCAGTTTCATTTTTCCATTTTGGACAGAGCCACACCATTCCCAGTGGGCATAGAGAAGAATCCTTTGCTCTACCTTTTGTAAAAATAAAAATGTTCATGTCTGAGACTCTCCTGGCCTGTGAGCAGAAGGAAGAGCAACAGCTTGTACTTAACTACTCACGTCGCGAACTATTTAGAGAGTCCATGCGTCTTCCACTCATTCAGTAAATACTGAGTGCCTACTGTGTGCCAGGCACTGTTCTGCCACCCAGGACAAAAGTATCTGGTCCCCTTTCTCAATGTTTAATGAACTGTTATAGTTAATTTTTTAAATGCACTGCGTGATTAGTATTCACAGCACGGTTTTTAATCACCTTCCTTCTCTGAACATTGTGTTTCCTACGGAACATGCTTTTAAAATTGAGGGGGGAAAACAGCTAAATAGAAAGTCACCATTGACCCCTCAGCCTAAG